CGATGATCGCTTGCTGTAGACATCGACGGTCTGTCATCACTGCGATACCCCCAATGTAAAACAGAGATCCCAGTCGTGGAGGCGCGGTGACCACGACTGACCACGACGACTCTCATGAGGCCTAATGCTTGTCAGCCAAAACAAGAAGTGCTTTGGGATGAAGAAGCGGTAACAAGTCCGGGACTCGACTAACTAATCCATCGATTGCCAGCCAACGTAATGCGTAGCGTAAGGTACTTTTTGACACTGTTGTGTTTCTCATCTATGTTGACCCCGCCAGATCGTCACCCGCGATGGGGCGCCGCGATATAGGCCCTGCCCTGCCCCTGCGTGTGCGCAGGTACAGCACGCAGCACGATACGATAGAATAGCCAACGCCCGCCCGAGGCGGCGCCTCGCCCCTCCTCACACACACCTCTTCTAAGTCCCTGCTCCGTAAGTTAAAGTTAGGTTTAAGGCGTATTTTGTTCGTCAAAAATTTTCCCCGCCCTATATCTCCATTCTTGTATTGTAAAAGCTCGTGTTGTAACATAGGTTACAATAACTAACGATTCATATCCATTTAGCCTTCCTCTCTCCTCACCACTTTTCTTATGTGAGTTTCAGTTTTCCCACCTCCGTAAGCGCGTCGCCGGGCGGCTTGGAAGTGATTGCAGACATTGAATTAGGAGACCAACGGTCGATTTCCATCTTCACTGGTCGTTATCGTCTTATCTACTCGCATTACGACTGCAAGTGTCAGGGCATAAAGTAGATTGCCTATGTGGAGGTATTTTGTAGCTCAAATTGCCTAGCCCTTCTAAATACGCGCCTGGCACGTGGGTAGGTGGTAGCCGCCCTCCTCCTTGTGCGCGACTGCCAAGTTCGACTGCAGGATTTGCAGTAGGCGAGCTTGCACGTGTCAACGTGGCCTACTGAGGAGTGACGACCCGTTGTCAGGTGGCCGCTGATTAGTGCCTATGTCTGACCGCGCGTGTGGTGGTCCGCACGTGGTGGAGCCCGTGAAGTCCGGGTGCTTACATTCGCAACATTGTATTGTATCGGCTTGCGCCGAGCCTTGGGCTGAGGGTTGGACTGAGGCTTGGGCATGATTCACCGCTACAGAGAGGTCAGACGAGGTTGACATCACGATTTTTCCCCTCTCTGAATACCTTTACCCCCCCCCCTCTCCTACCAAAAAAGAAAAAATGATGAGGAGGCATGTGCCCGCTGGCTACCGGCGTGTACATTGTGTGGCAAATATGTTTTGGGCCAGGGCCTGACACACGTCAGGATGTACTAGAGGAGCGGGGCGGTAGGAAGAGGCTCTCCCCCCTCCTCGACTCATTTGAATAAACTGATCACTGTTGGGCGGGCCGAGGGAGGGTGGGGGGCATGGTCCCTGAAGTGGACAACTAATAAGTTAGGTTGAACACGATGATTATCACTGCTATTAGGATTCGAGCCCTAGCTTTTCCTTAAGACCGCGACGAGATAAAGTGACCGATTACTGCTGACAACAGATGTCGCACTCCAACGCCTGCGCACAGCCAAGCCAGGTACCGCGAATGTTTCGCAATTCTTTGCAAGGTTTTAACTGTCCGGACCTTTTAATCCAATCAACAGACGCCCTTTGTACACGCTCAAATCCTTACTGACTTTTGCGTTGGTAAGCGTTAGCGTTCCCTAGAAAAGGCTGTTAACCGATCGGTTAAGTGAAACTTGGATAGCTGCCATCCCGATTGAAAAATTGACAAAGAGTCACAAGGGAGAGGAAATGGGGAGAAGGGAAGCTGGGGGAAAGGGAAAAGCAGAAGGCTCGTCGGAGGTGGCTGCTTCGCTTAAAAATTTGCGTAAGGCAGATTTCTTTCTTCGCAAAAAGAGAAAGCAGGTCCCTTTAGTCCTTTTTTGACGGAGGATTTCAATTTAATTTAAATTAAGAATAAAGACCTCGCTTCACCCTACCACCAAATCACATAAATCGTTCTGTCCTACTGCTTCTGCGTCCACTGCAAACTGAGTAAATAGGTTCTGCAGCGTCTCCCTTAAATTCCATCTTTTTTTTCTCTTTCTCTTTTTCGCACTCTCGTTTTCGTCGCGTTTCTCCCTTGGCCC